CCCGTCACCCCTTCTGTGAGAGGAGTCTTGCTTTTAACGTCTTAAAACGGGAAACTCCGTGTTTCCCAGTAGCTCGGGGCAAGCCCAAGTCGCGAACGACCAACTGGAGTTCAGCTGGGTGCCGGAGCAGCAGCCGCTCTGCCTTGGCAGTCCTGGCTGTGCTGCTTTTTTCCAAACAAGCTGGTAGATCAAAAGTCAACAGCCCGGGGGGCGAGGACGAGCGGTCTGCTCGGGCGGGCTCGCTGTGACCCTGCTGTGTCCCAGCGGAGCCCTGCAGCCCTCGCACTGTGCTGCAGGGGAGGCACGTGGCCCTGCTCCAGACCAAGTTGTGAGTTTGGTTTAGGTTAGGTGGCTTTTTCATCGTTAGAACGTGACGTGAGCCAGAACGTTGGCTGCTCGTTCAAACAGTTGGAACAGGAGATGAGCGAACGGCGTGATCTTACACGTAATGCTTACTCGTAGGGATTTTCTTAATATTGCTACTCTTGCAAGCGGAGGAATTAATATAACGAAGTACATCTGTAACAGGTTGTTATGGATGACGAGGAGGGAGGTATTGAAATTTCTGTGTCGTGGAGATCCACCAAGCTTTTGTTGCTTTGGGTCTGTCTTTGGATTGCATAAAAGAATGCCCGTTTCTCTCTGTAAATAGGTGCAGTGTGATCTAGCTATCTGCAGCAAAAACACTAGTGGGGAAGGCTCTCTCATCCTAAGAGAACTAATGTTGGATTTGGTACTATGTCCGTCATGTAAGTCAAAATCAGGTTTGCGTTGAGCTAGTGCCAGTGGATAGCTGCTCTGCTGCACCGCAGTGTACTTGCTTGTGTTGATGGATTTTCTTTCTGTCCTGACCCCGAATAGCATGCGGCCCGACTAAAGGAGGGATGTAACACAAGCGAAATGATCAGAATAGCACACACCAATCTTATTAGTTATGTGGTTTTAAGCACTAAACTGGAAACAATCTTGTTGCTTTGTCTGCTGTGATGCTTTTTGTGTATTAGTGATGTTCCTTAAAGTTCCTTCTTGGCCCCAGCATCTTTTGGGGATGGGCAGGAGCATCTCCAAGAACTCTGTTGACTAGTGATGTCTACATCAAAAGAAAGCGATTATCGTAAGTGACGTGGAAATCATGAGCTAGCATACATGCCCTTGCAACTACCTGAACGGAGTTCCCATCCACCTTCTTTTCCCTTTCTTCCACTCCTCACAGCTTTCTTCCTGTAACGAGTATACC